GCCGGCGAAACGTTTGAGAATGTATCAAGTCCACGGTCAGATGCTGGGAATCATGACAACTACTATGACATACGACTTCGGACTAGGTGCGTTCTACATGGTCTCCCCGAAAACAAGACCAAGTTCTAACATATTTATTTAGTTTATTATCCCTTAACGGTGCGTCTACTCAAGAACTCAAGCCTTTTACTGCCACTTTAGCAGGTTTACAGACAGATAGTTGAATTTGCCAAAAATGAGTGAATTGAAGGCGTAGCATCCTACTTATTTTTATACAGTAGTGTGATTGATTCAAACGAAAACCATGTATGCATTTTGTACCATGTTCCAATCTCGATGATGCACTTTTGACTTTTAGATTGTCTACCTGGTCGACTCGCCGTCTCTTTTGACCCTTTTCGCCACGGCTTGGCTGATGCCTGTCTACCCGCTCTATCTTTGCATCTCTTTCGCCTTCCGCCTGAGCCATTCTCCTCTGATTGAGGCCCTGAGGCAAGTGAAGCACGAGCTTCCCATTACTTTTTGCCCATGACCCCTAATCTATAAGGCCTCGACCTGTAGGCGGACAGAGCCTTTGGCAGCTGGGCAAGGGACATTTTGACTCTGGGCTCGTGGCCGGTTGACACCCAAATTGACACAAAGCCCACGAGGGCCGACTACTCTGAAATTACTGATAGTTCCGACACCTACTTTTTGTGAATATAAGTAGTGTGGTCGATTGTTAGGGCAAAATGCAAAATAATATCCCGAAATAGAAGTGTTGTAAATAATCGCATTTCGAATGAAAGTGCATGATGAAGAGATTCGTTGATTGATCTCAACGAAATACGACAGCTGATTCCTGTTGTTATTTAGCCGTTTGATTTGATACAAGAATTACTTACGTGCTTGCGTAATCTTTCATCTCTTCGCCTTGGTCATTCAGATTTGATGGATCGAGCCTGACGTTAGGCTTTTGTAATTAGTCTGAGTTGTGATAGGTAGTGAGTAAAGACGTTAAAACACACACACATACACACACACACAAGTATAAATACCTGGAATAATATGAAAGAGAATTGACCAAATCGTTTTATATTAATCTCCATCTACATAGCTCGGTTTTTGGTTACAAATAGAGATAGCATGTGGGATAGAGCCGGAGGGTCTTCTTGACGTGGTGTCAACTTGAAGCTATTGCAAGAATGAGGAGGTCCATTTTTGAGGATGTCTGTCAACTGGCATAACACAGCATACACGAGGGCGGATGTCTCTTGGATTTCGTCAGACTGCAGTTCACATAAGAGCCCAACAGCTACAGAACAACAGCAACTAACAGTGGTTTTCTGGTGAGATCGGCTTACGAATCGTTTCATTATGCACTTACATTAGAATTTAGTCTCCTCAACCATCGAAATGCTTGCCTCATTGACAATGCGATATTGCAGAAGCCAGGAATACTTTTATAAGTCTTCCAAGATTGTATCCCGTACTACCACATCCAGGGTTCGATTCCCACTTTTTGAGAAGCAAGTCTACGTTAATTGTAGATATGAAGACCAAGATTTTGCCCTCTTTGTTTTGGTCGCCGTCTCTTTTTTCGTTGTACAGAAGTGGTCTGACCTCGTTTACATACATAGTTTATGTTCCCGATTTCGATTTCTTTCGGTGTTGTTGTGCCCTCCTCCAGAATCCGAACATTGACTGGGTACGATTTCAGACCTTACCTTTGCCTACTAGTTGGTCATTGGAGGAAAGACTAAGGACTGAAGAAACAGACTAACGCAATATTACCTGATTAATTACCTAAGGTGTATTAAGGCAATGAAGGACTAGCAGCTGAACTTTTACTTTCATAAGTAGGTTCTAGAGACTACTAATGGCTCTGAAATCAGAACTTACTTCCATTTCGAGTGGAAGTGTTTGCTGAAGAGATTCAAAGGTCGGTTC